GGAATTATCGTCTCTCTCTGTCAGCATTTAGACATTTTCTTTTGTGTTATGAGCTGAGCCAATCAGAGCGAGAGCACTCGTAACTCACGGGGAGACGAGAACCCACACAGAACCGCCCCCGTCTGCCTCTGATGAGGAAGAGGAGGGTGAGGATGATGAGGATGATGATGAGGAAGATGATGAGGATGAAGATGAGGATGAGGAGGGTGGTGAGGATGAGGAGGGTGGTGAGGATGAAGATGAGGATGAGGAAGATGATGATGAGGATGATGATGATGAGGATGAGGAGGATGATGAGGATGATGAAGATGATGATGATGGGCTCTTGTCTTCTGGACGGCAGCTCTCTGCTTTAATGAGTTCACGTCTCATTCAGAATCAGCCTTTTATTGTCATTATTCACACGTACAAGAGACCAGAGCCAGCTTGATATCAATGATATCAAAATATCAATTAGCAAGAAACACATCCATTATAAACATTAGGAAGTACGCTGCACAGTCCTGGTGTATGGACATTACAGAAATGGATATATAGCTGTATAAATAGTAACATGTACTGTATGTGTGTAAATATTGAACATTGTAGGGTAAAAAACAATAAATATTGCCCATCTTAGGGTTTAGAAACTGCAAATATCGCACATTGTTGGGTAAAAAACTGTAAATATTGCACATTGTAGGGTAAAAAAATGTCAATATTGTCCATTGTAGGGTAAAAAACTCTAAATATTGCACATTGTAGGGTAAAAAACTGTAAATATTGCACATTGTAAGGTGAAAAACAGTAAATATTCCACATTGTAAGGTTAAAAATGTAAAATATTACACATTGTACGGTAAAAAACAGTAAATATTCCACATTGTAAGGTAAAAAACTGTAAATGTTCCACATCGCAGGGTTAAAAACTGCAGATATTCCACAATGTTGGGTGAGATATTATATTTTTGACAGTGTTTCAATGCATGTGGGAGTTCCCGCTGGTTATCGCCACAGGAGAAAAGCACACACTCACACACCTGTGACAGATACACATATGAGGGATAAACCTGTGAGGGGGTGAATCGTTTTTCTGGATGTTTGGGGGGGGGGGAAGGATCTGTGTCAGATTTAACGTGTGGAAGAATCCGACTCCCTGAAGTCAGTCTGAGCGACTCTGAATGAGCTGCAGCAGTGCTCCCGCCGAGTGAGTGTGGGTCTGTGTGCGTCTGTGAGTGTGTGTTTGTGTGTCTGTGTGTGTTTGTGTGGGTCTGTGAGTGTTTGTGTGCGTCTGTGTGTGTCTGTGAGTGTGTGTATGTGTGGGTTTGTGAGTGTTTGTTAGCGTCTGTGAGCATCTGAGTGTGTTTGTGTGTGTTTGAGTGAGTTTGTGTGTGTCTGTGAGTGTGCATCTGTGTGTGTCTGTGTGGGTCTGAGTGTGTTTGTGTGGGTCTGAGTGTGTTTGTGTGCGTCTGTGTGTGTTTGTGTGTGTCTGTGAGTGTGTGTCTGTGTGCGTTTGTGTGGGTCTGTGTGCCTTTGTGTGTGTTTGTGTGCGTCTGTGTGGGTCTGTTAGCGTCTGAGTGCGTTTGTGAGGGTCTGTGTGTGTTTTTGTGTGTTTGTGTGTGTCTGTGAGCGTCTGAGTGCGTCTGTGTGGGTCTGTGAGTGTGCGTTTGTGTGTGTTTTTGTGCGTTTGTGTGGGTCTGTGTGCGTCTGAGTGCCTGTGTGAGTCACCGCACACTTTCACAGTAAGTGGAACACGCTGCTCCGGCAGCTGGGACAGAAATAGATCAGAGACGGGAGCGTGTCGGGGAAAGTTTGCCCTCCTTCTCCTTTCTTCTTCTGCTGAGCCCAGATGTGGTGCACACAACACACACAAAACACACATAACACACACAAAACGCACACACAACACACACATGCTGCACACCAGGAGAACAACCTGACACCCACATGCGTCTTTTCCTCCCAAAGCCGAGGAACCCCTTTCTCATGGGAACATCTGTGCAAAAATAACAGTTTTTTAAAAAGATTATAAATGCTTAATTACAAGTAAAATTAATATAAGAAAGGTTTTAAATGTCCTTACTCATTTATCCTCTCAGTTCTCATTTTGAGCAAAAGAAACCACTTTTTTGGGGGTTATGTTTTGTGGTTAAAATGTACAAACTGTTTCCTGTTTTCTATCTAAAGATTTGGTTTGTTATGTTTAATTCTGGATTAATTTCCCACTTGGAAATTAAAAATGAGCAGTTTTTGAATTGTATAAATGGGCATTTATACAGAAAAGCTCATGGAGTCGTCATAAAAAGTGAAAACTGGGCATGAAAGGAGACGATAGCTCAGAATGTTTCCCCAAAAAAGATAAAATTGTTTTAATCTTTGATACAATAGATCTTGGAGTCAAAAGTATCAGGACTAAGTTTTATTTAAGGAATTAAAGGGGGAATTACAGGTCTGAACACCCCACCAGTTACTATGTTTGGAACATGGCCGCCATCTTGAAAGCCGCCATCTTGAAAGCCGCCATCTTGGATGAAGTGTGAGCTTTTCCAACGGGAAGCTTGTCATGTAGCATATCGGAGAAGAGCAGAATTGTGTCATAAATCAATTTCAGCCATCAGATTTGCAGCATCTCTTGCAGTTTTAAAGTTATCTGCGCAGAAAGTTGCGTGTTTGAGTTCTTGTCCACGCTTTTCTTCCGTCCTCATTGCAACCTCTTCCCCTCATATGCTAATCGCAGCTTCTCCTCAGGACTCAGAGAGAAAAGATACTGTGAGGAGCCATCCATCTCCATCTTTCTGCTCTGGAATATATCATTTAATTTATTTCCACTGCTTACAAGTCAGGCCTTGGATTAGATTTAGATTTCTGTTTAGAGTGGAGCGGATTAAACCATTATAAAAGCCTTCTGGTAGCATGTGGCTACCAGAAGGCTTTTCCTGCTCTCCAGAGAACATTTCAATTAGAAATAATCCTCACCTCATCAGGAGTCCTCTCCTTTGTGAGGGCTGCTGCTGTTTTGTTGTTGTTTTTTTTTGTGTGGCAATTATCCAGGGAGAACTTTGGATGTTCTTTTTTTATGACTTGAACTTTATTTAGGTTTTAACAAAATAAAATATACAAAATGTACCATGTACCATCAGAACTTTGGATGTTCTGATCAAGACATTTAGACACCGTGTCGTTTATGGACTTTAGAGGAGTGTTCAGGGTCTCGTTTCCTGGGTCGGACATTAAGCCACTCAGTGGCTCCGCCCCTCTTGGCCATGTTATTATTTATTTATTCCAACTTAATCTGACAATAGCTGTTATTATGATTGTAAACAGGGTGGATAATTCTGATCCACAGACATAGAATTATGGATTTTACAGCGTCCTTTCATTGGTGCTTTATAAGGCTTAACTTGTAAAATAAATCCCTCTAATGGTAATGAAGCGATACACTGATGACTAAACTGCAAAGTCACTCGAAGTTTTATAAGAAACGTATCTTCTCTGCCTCACAGTTTCTGTCTTCTGCAGCTTTCGCCCACCGATAAGAGTCTGGAGTTTGACAGAGACTTTCGGATCAGGCACTACGCTGGAGACGTGGTGTAAGTGTCCCCTTTATCCTCTTTTTGAGCCTCTGACTCTCTGTTTAGGGGTCTAAAACCACCATAATTACACCTTAACTCAGTTTAGATGCACATTTCACTGCATCACTATCAATGTCACTGAGTAATTGGGCGGCAAAACAGTGTAAACTCACAATAATGTGATAATTTTTCTGTAATATTGGATCTATTCTTTCTCCATCTGCATAAAAACACTGATGTAAGTAGGTGAAATTTCTTTACATTTCCTGATATTCTATTAACTAAAGCCAAAATAGATATAAATGCCCTATTTGAGCTCTTTTTTTATATTCCTGAGTCGTTTCCAGGCCCTAAATTGCCTGATTTGAAGGTCCCAAGCAGGTCTTTCTGAGCCGAGTCCCACCTGACTGATGCTGGGAAATCAATAGACCCACACGCACACACACACACACACACACAAACAAACAAACAAACACACACAAACACACATGTTGGACCGAGTCAAACATGTAAACAAAGTCTTGATTTCCCCCCAAAAGTGGCAGCCCCTCTCCCCGCTGCCCAGAGCTCCTGGACCTGATCCAGGCGACTAAATCCGGATCCCTAAGCCTTCTCCTGGAAATGTGTGGAGCCCATTTGTGATGGCCGCTCCCCTGGGGGGGGCTCAGGCGGCCATGATGGATCTCTGGGTGTGATGCTTCATGACTAACGCTCCCCCTGAACCTGTTTGTGGTTGGCCGAACGTGGAATATCAAAGCTCGTGAATTTACCCGCCTCTTTTCTCTCCACAGCTACTCCGTGGTGGGCTTCATCGATAAGAACAAGGACACCCTGTTCCAGGACTTCAAGAGGCTGCTGTACAACAGGTGACCTGCACCGTTTTAGTCATTTCCAGTAGGGTTGTCACGATACTAAATCTTTCAACTCGATACCGATACTCAGGAAAATACTCAATTCTCGATACCATTTTCGATACCGCAAGGATAAAAACAAAGACCCCCAAATTTAACGGAATTTTGACAGGTTAGTGTCTTTTATTTCAAACTGACCTGTTACTGATTTTATCCCGACTGGTGGCCCGCATTAATGGCCCTAACCCTAACCCTCCAGCCTTCATAATTTTGAGAAATAAATATTTTTTGGTTAAACTTGTTTGGACTTGTTGTACAAACCTATTTAGCATCCACTATTTTAACAGATTTATTAAATTAGAGTTTAATTAAAATAGAGTTTAATTAAGTGTTTGAAAGCTAAATTTTGCTACTCGCTACTTTTGAAAATGAGTATCGTATCCGGATACAACATTTCAGTATCGTTACTTTTGACAACCCTAATTTCCAGGCAGAAAATTACACCTTTCGGAGAGGAGACGCCTCCAAACCCCCCCCCCATGCACCCCCCCCAGCCTGCTCCATTTCTGCTCTGAAAGTCAAATGTTTGCACACAACCGTCCAATAAAAAGCCCATCTGTTAAAACCCATTCAAACTAAAGCCCTCTAAAACCAGAGGAAATTCCTAAATCCTGCTTATTAGCATAGATCATGAACTAATCCGTTTAGAAAATGTAAAAAATTGAACTTTCTGCACATTTGGTGACATTTAAAGAAAAAACAAAACAAATGATCCGAGTTCTTAATCATTATTTTTTTTAATGATTTATTATTATTATAATTATTATAATATTATTATTATAATTATATTATTATAATTATATATATATTATATATAATATGTTATAATATCTATAATATGTTATAATATTATTATTTATTATTATTTTCATCATATTTTTAATGGCTGATTCTCAGTT